ATGTTGCTGATTCGATGGATTTAGATGATCGATCTAACGTCACAAAAGCGGTAGCCAAAAATTCAACATTGCGTGGAATCAAATATTTTCTTCCATCAGCTTTGATCGAGTCAATCAAACCGCTTTCCTTTCTGGAGGTTATTACATGTGGCAGGACAAAACAGGGATGACGTGGCGTACGACTACTGGCCGGAGGCTGACATGCTGTCCTTACACGTCACTAAAAGAATTGGAAGAAAAGAGAGAGAGAGAGAGAGAGTGTGTGTCACTGGTGGTGCGTGTGCGTGCTTTGTTCTTCTTTAGTTTTCTCTCTTGTTTCTCTCCAGCTCCAGCGCGAGAAGAGATGGGCGACGAATCAATCAATGCGAATGTTGATGTGTGTGGTGATTCAAGGCACTAGCGACTGGCATTGTGGCGTCCCCGTCAATCTGGAGCTCTGAGCAACGAGAGGGAAAGAGAGAAAGAAGAAGAAGAAGATAAAGGGGTTTCTTTCGGGTCACATTGTTTCTGCTTCTCCAGCACCATAGCGAGCGAGCGAGCGAGCGAGCGTTTTACAGTGATGGGTTCTCGCGCAGGAGCTGGATCCAGGTACCATTTTGGCAGCATTGGATTGGGTTTCCCGGGGATGGGAGATATGGAGTTCTAGAGCTCCATTTCTTCGAGATTTCGGCATAGGATAGCGGCTAGCTCGCTCGATCATAGATGAACAGGGGCAGGCATGGCTTCTTCCCAAAGCTTTCGAGGCAAGTTTGCTACTCCTCCATAGCATCATAGATTGGGGAGGCTTTGGATTCAAGGAAGGCGATGGATGAACAGCCAAGGCAGGATGGCTAAGCTAATCTCGATGGTGGCGCTCTAGATCTCGCCAGTCGCCTAGTTAGGTGGCGAGTTGTGGGTGATGATCTTGCAGTGCAAGCTAACCGATACCCCACAGAGAAAACGAAGAAGTTCGCGGTAGCTGGAACGTAGCAACAGGAAGAACACAAGAGAGAAGAGAATGTCTATGTCCACAGGAAGACCACTCCAGCAGCATCCAAGCAATGTGAGAGTGGTGAGGAGAAACCAGTGGAGCAAAGCTCTCAGCCCTGCGAAGAAGAAGAAGAATGGCGACGAGGAAAAGGAGGAGGAGGAGGAAAAGGAGAAGATCAAGCGGCCATCGCCGATTCTCAAGAAGGTTTCCAGCTTCGACACGATAGAAGTGAGCAGTAGTGACGATCAACACTGCAATGGTGGCGAAGGATTGGACTACCAGAGCCCGCTGAGAAAAGATGGGTTGATCATGGATCCGCCAACACCGATGTTCTTCAGCTTCACTTACGGCCTCTACTCCGACTCCACCACCAATTCCAGCTCGAATTCCCACGACAAAGAGGAAGCCATGGCCATCGCCAAGAACAGCACCATCGACGAGGAGTCCTCCAGCAGCTGTAGCAGCTGCGTGGAGGATCCTTCGCCGCCACCTTGGAAGTCACTGGCGGAGGTGGCGGCGGCGGACGAGAGCGCCAAGAAGAAGAAGAAGAAGAAGGTGACGTTTGCGGTGCCGGAGGCTGTTACGTTCGCGGAGAAGGAGATCGAGGCTCCTCCTCCGCCACCTTTGATCTTGAGCTCGCCGCGAGGGTCTCGAGCTCTGGGGAGCTCTTACAGTCCGATGAGGAGCCCGAGCTCGATCCATCCCGGGTGGAAGAAGCAAAGCTCGCCGAAGGCCGGGCGGGTGGCTCCCGAGGGATTGGTCGACTTGGCATCGGCCGCTCCAGATAAAAAACGCTGCTCGTGGATCACAACTCAGAGTGGTACGTAAGTTTCCGCGATTCTTTTTTTCGTTTCTTGTGCTCGTTCTTGCTTGCATTCATTCTAGCTTAGTTTTTTGCTACTGAAAAGAGCGTGTCTCGTGGCTACAGACCCGGCGTATGTCGAGTATCACGATTCCGAGTGGGGCGTTCCCGTCCACGATGATAAGTAAGCTCGTTTTCTTCTCTCATCAACTTGTTGATCTTCGTTTTTTAGGAAGCTATTCGAGCTTTTAGTGTTTGCTGGTGCGCAGGCCGAGCTAAGCTGGTCTGCACTACTGAGCAAGCGAGAGCACTACAGGTAAAGAAAAAGAAACGAGCTCGTTCTTCCTGCTAAAAAGAGTTTTTTTTTTTTTTTTTTTTTTGTGTTCTCTAGAGCTGCGTTCGCTGGATTCGATGCCGAGGTTGTGTCGAAGTTCGATGAGGCGAAGATCTCTTCCCTGTCTGCCGATCCGGAAATACTCCAGCACGAAGGGAAGATACGGCAAATCGTCGACAACGCAAAGTGCATAGTCGAGGTGAGACAAACAATTCCAAAGTTTCCATGTCGTGATTCATTCTCTTCCAGGTGGTGCAAGAGTTTGGATCTCTGGACAAGTTCGTGTGGAACTTCCTGAGCCACAAGCCGATTGTCAACCGGTACCGGACGCCGCAGCAAGTGCCAATCAAGTCGGCAAAGTCGGACTTGATGAGCCGGGATCTCATGAAGCGGGGCTTCCGTTTCGTCGGGCCAACCATCATGTACTCGTTTATGCAAGCCGCCGGGATGACGAACGATCACGTCCTCCACTGCTTCCGCCACCAGGAATGTATCGCAATCTCCTCCCCGCCATCGCCATCGCCATCGCAAGAACACAAACTCCCGAACGAGTCTTCCGCCGAGAAATCGCCACAATCCTAATACGAAACTAGCAAAACTACTATGATAGAGTGATCTTTATAAAGGGCATTTTTCTTCGCTGTAGCCAAGTTTCCTCGGAAGAGTAGCCACGTCGCAAGCTTAGAAAATTGACACGTGTATCCGACGTTGCACTTTTAACGGTCAAGATGACTTCGTCGCGGATCGATCCGCGCCATCGCCTTGGGCGTCGCTGATTGGTCCAGCTGCGCATTTATAATCTCCCCCAAGTTAGTTTGTTGTTGTGCTGGTTCTTCTTTCCCAGGGCGGCGGCATCCACAGTTCTTCGCACGATCGATCGCAAATCCTCTCGCGTTTTGATTGATCCTCTCCAGTTTCGTTTCCTACATGGCCAAGGATTCGTCGTCCGAGCAGAAGGCGAGCAAGGCGGCCAAGGGCGAGAAGCAGCCACCCAAGCTCAAGCCGGAGAAGAAGCCAGCGCTCAATCTCAAGGAGGGATCGGGGGCAGGAGGAGGAGGAGGAGGAGGCGGCGGCGGAGGATCGAGCAAGAAGAAGCGCGCCAAACGAAATGCTGAGAGCTACAAGACGTACATCTTCAAGGTGCTCAAGCAGGTCCATCCCGACACGGGGATCTCGTCCAAGGCCATGGGGATCATGGACTCTTTCATCAACGACATCTTTGAGAAGCTCGCGCAGGAGGCGTCGCGGCTGGCGCTCTACAACAAGAAGCCCACCGTCACCTCTCGCGAGATCCAGACCGGGGTGAGGTTGATTCTCCCGGGAGAGCTCGCCAAGCACGCCGTCTCCGAGGGGACCAAGGCCGTCACCAAGTACACGAGTTCTTGAGAGGATCAATCCTTTGCTCCTCTTCTCTTCTTTCTCTCGGCTATTTAGCGATCTAGCAATGGAAGGAAACAAAAGTTCTCTCTCTCTCTCTCTCTCTCTCTCTCTCTCTCTCTCCCCTCGTGCATCAAAGTGTACAGTAGGAAGAACTTGGAAATTCAATGATCTTACAATTCTTTCTTTCGATGATCTCTAGATCTTTTTCGAAAGATTCAATGATCTTACGATTCTTTGTTCATCTTAAGTTCGTTTGAAACGGAGAAGTTGGAACCAATGATCTTACAATTCTTTCTTTCGATAGTTTTTCGAAAGATTCAATGATCTTAATTCCTCCCCAAAAAATACACCTGATTGATGGAATGAATAATTCTTTTGGTTCTAAAATCAAGATTTTTACTGCTGCTTGAGGCTCTCGACACTGATCTCTGCCACTGGCTGCGATGATAGCGCGCTCCACACGGATCCAGCCGAGTATCTTACAATCTGGAAGATCTTCCGGACGAAGTTCCAAATCCCCCACGAAAACGTGAACCATCCTGCCCATCCAGCGCAAGTAAAAAACGAGTTTTTCTAAGATCCAAGAACAAAGATATACGAGAGTAGTGAAGTAGTACCGGCAGCCATGATCATCCCGCAGATGCTAAAGAATGTGAGGCTGGAGATGGTAACTCCGGCCGCCAGGAGCGCTCCAACATACACAGCCGTGAGGGACGTGAAGAAGGAAGCCATCAAAAACCCCACCAGCGAGATCGAGAGTATCAAGCTGATCATCATCGCATTTGCGGTCGCTGATACGAACACCACCACAAACGTTGCGAGCGCTACCAATGCCGCCAATCCAACCAGCCCAACCTGGAGAAAAAGATCATCATCGAAGAAAAGATTAAAGAGAGTACTCACAGCGCCAAGAAGGGCGATCTTGAGATGGCCGCTCTCTTGCATCCAGCGATGGAGATCCGCCATGGTTTGCCTAGCGGCAGTTTGGGCTCTGGGGCCTTTTTCGTAGGCCAGAGCTCGCATCCTTGCCAAGACGCTGTCCCTGCCCTGCTTGGATCCCGACACGAGCTCGCCCAAGTAATCGCGAGCGAGCGCCATGAATCCCGCGCATTCCTGCCGCTGCTGCTGCTGCTGAGCCGGCGGTGGATGATCCAGCGCCGCCACTCCATTCGCAGCATTCGCTCCTCCTCCGCCCCGCGCGACGGCCATCGCTCTTCCTCCCCCCAAAACAAGAGAAAGAACAAGAAAACTTAAAAAGCCCTAGCCGCCAGTTGGTACCCAGGACACGTGTCCGCCTGCCAAGGTGCCACGTAGATTCAAAGAAGATGCTTTGGCGGGAGGAAATGGATCTTTCTAAAATTCTATTTTGGAGAACTTTAGTTCAGTGCTGCAACACCAAAAATCTTTCCCACTTGGAGAAAACGAGTGTAAAAAAGCGCGAGCGCTAGCGCGATCTATCGACCCCAGGGACGATTGCTGCCTAGAGGAACAGCATTCGATCCAGATTGCGCGGGGCCCCTTCCAAATCCGCGGCCTCGATCACGAAAGCCAACTGCGAGAAAACGAGCAAAGTGAGCGAAGAGATCTAAGAAAACCAAAGACAAGCGAGCTAGAGCTTCCTTACCTCCTCCTCCAAATCCTCTGGAGCAATTCACCATCGACTGGAGCTCCGGGGTTATACGCTGCCCAGCCTCCGAGAGAATGGACACCAGCTCCCTGGCGTGCTTGGCGTTTGACACGGTGAAAAACGTGTACGCCGTTCCCTTTGCACCAGCTCGGCCTGTTCTTCCGATGCGATGCACGTAGTCCTCGCAAGAGCCAGGGAAGTCGTAGTTGATCACATATCTGATGTCCTTGACATCTGTTTGACAACAAAAGGCCACGAGTCAGTAACTTGGTAATGAGAAAAAATGGAGCAGAAAACGAGGAGCACAAGGCTAAACGAAACCTCCCCTCGCTCTGGGCACCGAAAGAAAAAGCTTGAGTTTTTTAGCGACGGAAGGAAAAGGAAAAACGAGTAAACTCTCTTCTTTACCGAAGCCGTCACCCATGATGAAACTCGACTAGGCTGTAGAATGTGTCCAGCTCTGGAAATGCGGACAGCAGCATGGCGGCGGAAGCTTGAACGTTTCATCCATCCCGAACACATCCCTCCGGCATGGCCGCCAAGCCACAATCGCGCCATCAGGAAACTGGTCCACAGCCCACCCATTCCTCATCAACTTATGGGTGACAGGAATTTTGCTGCATCCCAACACAAAGAAAAGAAAAGCAAAAAGAGCTTCTATGACTGTGCAACAGAGAGCTGTACCAGGTGAATCTTAAAACTAAAGAATGAGAAGGAACTAATGCAAAAACGGAAGACAGTAGAAAACAAGAAGAGAGCCCAGACATATCATGCAAGCAAATGACAATGAGGACCGACTTACCTAGGCCGCGAGCTGCAACGTCAGTTGCGGTCATGATCGGGCTCTTGCCGGTCTTAAACTCGGACAGAACCCAGTCGCGCTCTGCCTGGCTCTTGTCCCCGTGAATAGAGAGAGCTGGCCAGCCTTCCATTCGCAGCTGCTTAGTTACTTGATCACATCCGCGTTTCGTTTCCATGAATATGAGAATCTTTCCTCCATCCATGAACTCGTCCAGCAACTTGATCAGTCTGTAGACAAACGTCAGAGTATGTTCTTACTTTAGAAAGTGAAAGAAAAGAGAATTCCCATACTCACTTTTGATACTTCTCGTAGTCATTAACAACTTCAACATGCTGAGCGATAGAATGGTTCGCCTTTAGAGAGGAAGAGCCTATTGTCACCTGCAAGAAAGAGAGAAAAGACGTTGAAGACCGAGAGATTTTTAACAATATAAACCTTGTAGGGATCATGCAAAAATTGATTAGCCAGCTGCTCGACATCTTTAGGCCATGTTGCGCTCCAGTAGAGCGTCTGGCGGTCTGGCCTAATCTGCAACAGTGAAAGAAACAAAACTTAATCTCGTCACACAATGGCATAGCATACTCTCGTACCTGTCCAACTATCTTTCTGATTTGAGGCTCAAAGCCCATGTCCAGCATTCTATCAGCTTCATCCAGCACCAAATATGTCACCCTCCGAAGGTTAGTATGTCGGCCTTCAAGCATGTCGATGAGGCGTCCCGGGGTAGCTATGACAATTTCGACCCCTGCAAGTAGATGCATTCAGTCTCTCCTTGTGAATCATCTCTTTTCCCTACCTCTTTGCAAGTCACGAATCTGAGGTCCCTTTGGAGCTCCACCATAAATGCAAGTGCTTTTGATCTTTGACGAGGAACCAAACTTAGCAGACTCTTGTTGAATTTGAACAGCCAACTCCCGTGTAGGAGCTAGCACCAGCACAATGGGACCGTCGCCGGGTGCTAAGAATTCCAAACCAGAAAATAAACAAAGAGTCCAACGCTTTATAGAACTTACCAAGATAAGGCTGTGCATTTACATGGACGATTGCAGGTAGAAGGTATGCAAGAGTTTTCCCAGATCCCGTTTCTGCAAGTCCTACTAGATCCCTCCCTTTCAAAGCCATGGGCCATCCTTGAGCTTGAATGGCGGTGGGCTCCTTGAAACCGGCTTTGAGAACTTCCTGGAGAACATAGTCTGGAAAACATCCACATAAGATCAATCAAAACCTTGTCCTCGATAGAAGAAACCTTCGCCTACCTGGAAATGAAGCCTCGGCAAAACTCCGGACAGGCTTTGGGACATTTCTACCCTGGACGGTGATGTCCTTTCGCCTCCGAAAATCCACAACCTCGTCATCCGTCAGCGCTGCCACAGATGGATGCTCGATGTAAAAGTTCTTCTCGAACGGGGACAAATTGTCGAACTGCTCTTTCGGGAGGACCATGGAATCGAAATCCTTCTTCCGGCTTCCACCGCCATAGCTGCTTCCAAAATCACTGCGAGAAAACAACAATGAGAGAAATGAGCCCGATGATGAGCACCCAGGGTTATTTCCAGTACCTTTTCCGGTCTCGGTACGAGGATGGATCACTGTAGCGGCCATCGTAGCGACTCATGCTGTTCTAATCCGAGACTGCTAGACGCAAAGGATTCCAATCAAGGGGGCCGAAATTTCCAGAAATCGACGCTGCGAGCGCTGCAACACGAACCTCTCACCTCGATTCACTACGCGCTGCAGCGCTGCCGGGAAGGAAGAAATCGATCGAAGCCGCGTTCTCTCCACACAGAGACGTTAGCCCTAGAATGGGACCGACCTATGTTTCTCTTTCACGATTGCGTGAGACGGTATAATCTTTGGCGTCCAGTGCCGTACCGGAATCTAATTATAAAATATTCGCATGTACGGCATCGTTTATGAGACTGACACTACATTCATGCGTGATATGATCATCCGAGGCTCGCCGTGAGGTCCTTGATTTCGTCCGCAGAGATCGTCTAGAGTTTGGAAGATCGAAACATATCGTTAGTTCGTGGCGATCGATTGGAAATACTTTTTTTTTTTCTCTGGAAATCTTACTTGGTCTTTGCCAGCAAAATCGTTCTCTGGAGTGAGGAAGAGCATGCAGTGACATTCCTTCCTGTAAAGCAAATCGTTTGCGAGTGAAGATGAAAAGAAAGAAAAAACCAAGATCACGAAGAAAAGAAAGAAGGATCCAACCTTTCCCTCATGGGAACGCAAGGGCAGTTCCAAAATCCTTGTGACGCTTCCGCGGGTTTGTCATCGTAATGCCTGCCATAGAAGCATCCAGAGTGAATTCACGAAGCTCTAGAGTGAAGAATATGATTCTACCGGCAAGGACACAGCGGAGCTCCCAAGGTGTCTTTGTGCTCCGCTAGACCCTGTAACTCCCAGTGTCATTGAAAATTCGAGAGCAAAGGAGCTAGAGCTGGAATCCACTACAAACAGAAGAGAAGAAGAAAACACAGAGAGAACAAACCTTGATCACCACAGAAGTGACGCTCTTGTCCGCGCAAAAGTAAGTCCCAGATCGTCTAGCGTACTGCTCCGAGAATTTGCGCATATTCTCGATGCTCTTGGAGGAAGGCTCCGCTAGAAAAAACACATTTAGAAGCAGTAGAAAACGAAGCACTGGAAGCGAGAAAGCATCGCATTCGAATCAATCCATGCAGAGCAAGGCCAGGAATCACGGCATCGGCGAGCATCGCCTACATTCTCAAACAATCCGCGAGAAATCGAAACAAAGAACGCACTCACAGGACGCCCGCACGACATGGATCCTCCGCCGAGGTGTGGACGATGGATTGACGAAGGCGCCGCCGAGATTTCTCGAGGTTGTCGCGATGGAGGCCATTGCCGCCATAGCCAGCCACAGAAAAATAGGGCGGACAAACAATTAGTTCTCTCGCTCGGGATTTTTCTTTACCCTAATGCTTGGCGAGGAGGCGGCGGCGCATGGCAGCGAATTTCTGGACGTCGTCTCACTGGTATGAATCGCGATCGCCATCGCCGTGCTGCCGCATTGCTGAATTGTGGTTTCCCGCAGCAAGAGGCTGCTTGAGCAGGAGGAGATTTCAGTGGTTTCTAACGACGATCGCGACCGTGGCCTCACGCAGGAGGATGTGAAGATCATCAAGATCTACTTCTCTTCTTGTGAGTTTCGTGAGTTCCAAAGAAGCGTATAACATTTTTGCTTCATTAACTGGGCAGACATAAAGAAATTGGCACAGCGTGCAAAAGTTCGCCAACGGTAGCTTCTCTCTTCTTTTTTTTTTTTTAATTTCTTCGTTCTAGCTAGCTCCCTGAATCTTTCTTCGTTTTCTCTTTGGATCATTTCGGACTGACTTTGGGATTTTGATCAATGCAGTGTTGTGGCGACAGCGATCGCATATTTCCGACGGGTTTACACCAGGTAACTCTACTGAAGAATTCTTCTTTTGGTGTGCTTACGAAACTTGTTTTACAGGAAAAGCTTTTCAGAGTATGATCCTCGGCTTGTGGCACCGACATGCCTGTACCTCGCTTCAAAAGCCGAAGAGAGTACCGTTCAAGCCAAGCTTCTCATATTCTACATGAAACAAATCGGTACCTGGCATTCTTTCGTTCAGCAGCTTCACTGACTTTCACTTCCTTGAAATGCAGGGTCAGATGAGAATGGCTTTCGCTACGACATCAAAGACATCCTGGAAATGGAAATGAAGCTCCTGGAGGCGCTAGATTACTACTTAGTTATCTATCATCCTTACAGGCCGCTTGTCCAGTAAGTCTTGCTTTTTAGAGCTTCCTAGATCTTCTGTTCTGGATGATTGATTATACTTTCAGGCTGCTGCGAGACGCTGGCCTGTCGGACATGATCGAGATGTGCTGGTAACACTTTGCGTCTCGTTTCTAAGCTGTCAATCACGCCGTGCTTGCCTTGCAGGTCCATAGTGAACGATTCGTATGGAACCGATCTCATACTGATGCATCCACCGTACATGATCGCTCTGGCGTGCATCTACATCTCGTGCGTGATCAACGAGCGGGACAATCGCCTCTGGTTCGAGGAGTCGAGGGTGGACATGACCGTGGTGAGTGACGAGACTCTTTTGCGCGTTCTTGTTCGTCTTTTAACTCCTGGATCTGCCGTGCTCCAGATCAAGAACATAGCAATGCAAATATTTGACTTCTACGATAACTATAGGCTTGGGTTTGAGGACCGAATTGGCGCAATCTTACTCAAGCTTTCCCAGAAATCATAACTATATAAACGTTTGATTGGTTTAAACGTAAGTCTTTATATATTAGGTCTAGTAGGGTCTGGTCAAATTTGGACATTGTGGAATATTCTTAGATGCGATTAGGGCTTGCGAGGGTGAGAGTGAAGAGAATTGGCTATGGCGATATTTTGGATCTAGATTAGGTCAAGGCGCGCGCGAGAGAGAGCGCGGCCGCGCGGGGCGCTGGGCCGGGAAGAAAGGGGGATTTTCAGCCATGTACAGCAATTTCAAGGAGCAGGCGATCGAGTATGTGAAGCAGGCAGTGGTGGAGGACAATGCGGGCAACTACGCCAAGGCCTTCCCGCTCTACATGAACGCGCTCGAGTACTTCAAGACCCATCTCAAGTACGAGAAGAACCCTAAGATCAAGGAGGCCATCACGCAGAAATTCACAGAGTACCTGCGGCGCGCCGAGGAGATCCGGGCCGTGATCGACGACGGCGGGCCGGGCGGCGGCGGCGCGGCGCCCAATGGCGGCGATGCCGGGCTCGCGACCAAGGCCAAGTCGTCCAAGAAAGGGGGCGAGGATGGGGATGGGGAGGATCCCGAGCAGGCCAAGCTCCGATCGGGCCTCAATTCCGCGATAATCCGGGAGAAGCCGGATGTCAAGTGGAGCGATGTGGCTGGATTGGAGAGCGCCAAGCAGGCTTTGCAAGAGGCGGTCATACTGCCCGTTAAGTTCCCCCAGTTCTTCACAGGTTAGTGAATAGTCTACTTGGTAGCGATGTTCTCTTTCTTTCTTTCTTTTTTCCGAAGAGGAAGTAACCTTCCTTTCTCTTTGCTTTGCAGGGAAGCGACGACCATGGCGTGCTTTTCTCCTCTATGGCCCTCCGGGAACTGGAAAGTCTTATCTCGCCAAAGCCGTGGCCACGGAGGCCGACTCCACCTTTTACAGGTATGTGTGATCCAGTCTTTCTTATCCGCGTAGTTCATGACTGTGATCAATTGGTGACAACAGTATTTCTTCGTCAGATCTCGTTTCCAAGTGGATGGGGGAGAGCGAGAAGCTCGTAGCCAACCTCTTCCAAATGGCCAGAGACAGTGCGCCCTCCATCATCTTTATCGACGAGATTGATTCGCTGTGTGGACAACGCGGTGAAGGCAACGAGAGCGAGGCGTCGAGACGAATCAAAACGGAGCTTCTCGTCCAGATGCAGGTAGCAAAAGAGCTTCTTTTCTTTGGTTTACAGCTTGCTGAGAAAACTCACAGGGCGTTGGAAACAACGATCAAAAAGTTCTCGTTCTCGCGGCAACAAACACTCCATATTCTTTGGATCATGTGAGTAGAATTTGGATTTTGTGCGATAGAGCTTTCCATCCTTGTCACTTAAATCACGCTCGCAGGCTGTTCGCAGGCGATTTGATAAGCGCATTTACATTCCTCTACCCGACTTGAAAGCAAGGCAACATATGTTCAAGGTTAGAGAGGCGATATGCCAGTTCCGCGTGACAGGATTTCTTTTTTCTTGTGGCAGGTTCATCTAGGAGACACGCCGAGCAACTTGTCGGAACGCGACTTTGAGGACCTTGCAAAGAGAACGGAGGGGTTCTCGGGCTCGGACATCGCAGTTTGTGTGAGCATTGATGGTAATCCTTGTTCCAGCACTTTCTCATCTAGACGATGTTTGGACAGGTTAAGGATGTCCTGTTTGAGCCGGTCCGGAAGACGCAAGACGCGATGCACTTCAAGAGATTGAAAACCAAAGAAGGAGAGTTCCTGGTGCCTTGCGCTCCACTGACACCGGGTGCCATCCAGACGACGATGCAAGAGCTTGCCACCAAGGGGCTCGCAGCTCAGGTAACCTTCATTGTTTCCTCCTCTTCAAGTTCTAAAAGCTGGGTGCTGTTACAGATTTTGCCACCTCCAATCAGCAAGGCAGACTTTGACAAGGTGCTGGCCAGACAGAGACCAACGGTGAGCAAAGACGACCTTGAAATACATGAGAAGTTTACGAAGGAGTTTGGGGAGGAAGGATGATTCGTCGCCCTTGTGCGTGGTCTCTTATATGAATCCATAAGATTTACTCTCTGACGTCTCCTTGGTTTGTCCCGTTCGTTCCCATGCGATTAGAAATTGACTGTATTCTTTTGCAAGTATGTTCGAAGTCACAAATTGAGCAGTTTTGTGGCATTAAAGAGCTTTTATTTGTTGATGAAACTATTGGTGAAAGTTATAGGACACTCCCACAAGCGTCGAGAGCACTGATGAAACAAGCCTCGTCCAGTGTAAATCCCTCCAGGTCCATGCAAACGAAAACTCGAAACCCTTCCTTGCCATGCCCGCTCTGGACATATGCGACCAGCAGAGCAGTCCACAGAACAACGTCTTTGCTTTCAGCACTGTCAAAATCTCTCTTGCCCGATCAAACTCTCTCGATCTACTGTACATGTTTAGCAGCGAAGTTGCCACCATCAGGTTTGATTCGTATCCACTTTGAGCAGCAAAACTGTGAATCAGTCGACCAACCGTTAGATCTCCAGCGTCACCGCAAGCTTCCAACACGCTCACAAAGTTAGTGTCGTCGGGCTTGACACCTTCGACGCTCATGAGCTGGAACAGCCGGATTGCCAAATTGGAATGCCCGTTCTGGGCATATGCAACCATCATGGCATTCCATGTCACCTCGTTTTTGGTCCGCATCGCATCAAACACAGCCTTGGCCTCTTATCTCCACATTTTCCATACATGTCGATTTAGTATTTAGGAATTTCAAATCCAAGTATACATGTTTAATGCTTCAAAATACTCAAGTTTGGTTTTGTATCAAAATGATGATGGCCTGATTGTTGGCCTTTTAGATCATGCTTGAAAACTGGACCATATCTTTCTGATAGATCACCTAATGGTCAATAATAATTAAATGTGTATAATCATAAATAAAGTTGTGTTTATTTATGGAATATGTCAAATTTTTAAGAGTATTTAGTTTGTGTTAGATTTTTTTTTCAATTTTACATATATGAAAATTGTATTAATATTTTTATCTAGTACCAAAAAATATATTTCTTTCTTGTGCATCCTAGAGAACAGATGAATTAAATATTTCTAATAATTTAATAGTTCTTTTATTAATACTTGGAGACTTTCCTGTATATGAAGATTAATATAAATCCATGTCTTGAATAACCTTAGTGTTTTACTAAAAATATATTCCGTCAATCCTATAAAATATAGTTTTACTCTACATTGTACAATATTTTGGTTAAATATATTGGAGTGTAAGGAATAATCCTAGAATATCCAGGTATATTCTAGGATATTTCTCAATCAAACGGTTGTGATTTTCCCGTATAAGTTCCATTCACTGTTATTATCTGCTAACTCCCAACGACGCTAACTTTGTGAGCATAGTCAAAGTGGATATATTCAATGTTAACTTGATGTCAAGTTTTTGGTTTGCTTAAGCAAACCTATAGGGGGACTGGATGGTATTGGATATACCTAGAATATTCTTGGATATTTTAGGATATTTTACCATCTAACGGTTGTTATTCACTTAGATTAATCTTGTATTTATAATTTATAAACATGTTTATAATTTATAAACTTTCTTAAACCTTTTCTAGTATATTCTTTTTTATTCTACCATCTAATGGTTGGTATGCAATAAAATTAATCTTGTATATATAAATTACAAACATGCTTATAATTATAAACTTTATTTGATCAATTGGATTAATAAGTAATAATAACACTAGTATTAAGCAAACCAAGCATTGCTGCAACGCGTAGCAATTTATTCATATTAGAAATTAAATATTGAATTAGTTTATTGCTAACCTGGAAACAAACACATGAACAAGCTCGGGAATACCGTGAGCAAACCTGCAGTTGACTCCATTACGACAGTGCCCCTTGGCGAAGTATCTACAGAGCCGCGTCTTGTAGAATGGGTCGTGAAGATCCATTTCGTCACTGGCGCTTCCATCGTCCGAGAAATCTTCTTCCTCTCTAATAATGTAGTGTTCGTCCCAAAGCTTACAGGTGCACATTTGTATCTTATTCCGGTACTCCATGCCACAAGTATAACAAAACTCGTAGCCACACCTATAGCACCAGAACACCAAGTATCGTACACAAGAAAAAGAACGAGGCAGAAAAACCATACCTGCAAGTCATGTGGTAGCACCCTTCCAAGAGCTCAATCATCCACCTACACTTCTTGCACTGCCTCCACTTCTGGTTCTCCGCGAGCCTGTAGAGCTTTGCGTCCGCGGCATCTTTTAAGTCGAGAGGCAGCCGCTGGTATCCAGCACAAGTCGAGAATGTATGCCAGGGAACTCGGCAGTCGAGGCAGAAGTACCTTTGGCAAGCTCCACACAACTTCCGGGGCTTGGGGTCGAGGAAAGTCCTTCTATCCATTAAGTCCGAGCAGTTTGGATACGGGCAGTAGACTCTCTGCGCGTCAGGGATGCGCTCCTCCTCTATCTTCTTCATGAAAACTTTGAGAGCCGCCTCGGACAGCAGCTTCTTGCACTCGCCCTCGGTGAACTTCTTCGTGCACTCGACTTGCGGGCAAGCCACCGGGAAAGTCCGCCCGGTTGTCACTGTAGCCTCGACGTGCTGCTTCACGCACGATGAGCAAAACTTGTGAGAGCACTCGGTGAGAGTGTAAATGTCCGCATCCTGGACGTCCTCGAGGCAAATGACGCAGTGAAACATGGACCTGCTGCTGGAAGCCGTGTTTTGCCTCTGGCTGATCGAGACCGACTTCGCTACATTGTCTGCTGGCCAGTTCTCTCCGTGGAGCGCAAGGTTGATATCAAACGACTCGAAACTATCGATGAGCCCGATTGCCTTGTCATACTCGGCCATCATAGCCTTTGTAGAGACCCTCCAATATCCCTTGATCTAGGAAATAAAAAGAAACGAAGCGTTTGAATCAGGAAAGTTGGCGAAAGAAGAGAAGAACAACCAACCTGGTTATGGAGAGGGCCAGAGTCCGTGTAAGCAATGATCTTGCGAGCTCCCATGGACTGAGCCGACTTGAGAACGTCAACGAGAGCATAGTACTGCGCGACGTTCTTCCCGGTGGGAGTTGCGACGTATCTCTTGAGCTGGAGGAGCTCGTTTCCACTGGAATCCCTGATCGATCCACCAAGAGCGGCACCAACAATCACACCACCCTCGGACACCGAGTAGCCTTTGAAATAAACCCGGAAGAACGTCCCCGTGATCCCCGACTGGAAAGGCCGCTCGTACAAGTCACCGTTCTCCTCCCACTCCCTCTCGTCCATCTCATCGATCTCGCGAGCCATGGCGTCGTCGTGGAGCAGCTGGTCCGCGCTCTCGTTCAGCTCTTTGAGCAGCTTGGCCGCTATCTCGCGATCCTTCTCCTGCTTCTGGAGCGCCTCCAGCTCCATCTCCTGGACGCGAATTGCCAGCGCCGCGTCGTCCTCCACGCCCAGGAGTTTGTTCCTCCATCCAGCTAGGCCGAGCAAGCAACGAGAAACCATCCGCCCAAACACAAACAGAAGCAAGCAATGGAGGACAACTACAACGAGCGCATCGCCCACCGACATTTGGAATGCAAGATCGGAGTCGGAGGCGCTAGGCGCGACCGCCATCGCCATTCTTTGCTAGGATTCTTCACTGCCAGGTGGTATTCCACTAGTTTCACTTTTCCTGAACAGTTTAAAACAAGCCAAAGTATATATTTCTATTGGTCCTTTGTTCATATTGAAAATTTAATATACGAAAATCAAACTAATTACACCATCTAGTGCAAGATAGAAAGTTTTAAATATAAACTGTTTCTAGAATATTTGTGTGAAACTTTGGAGTATGAGTAATTATAAGGTTTTACTAGTTAGTAAGTTCTTTAAAATATAAAATATTGGAATTTAGAGCACAATAATATAAGAAAAATTCAAATGGTATTTTTAAACTTTAAACAGCTTTTTCCACCATTCTATAAAGTTTATTAATTTTCTTGTTTTACTTGGTGTTATAGTGGTGTTTTATATGAAGGCATGGATCAAAGTTACTCTAATACTTGTTTAGAGAGTGTAAGATGTCATTTGATATTATTTGACATGTCATCAGTAATTACCATGACTTGGTCAAAATTTGATTACAGTTTTATAAGAAAGTGTAGAGTTGTTGTAGAAATTTATAACTTCATCAAAGGGTTAATCACCAATATAGGATGTGGACTTTGTAGGGATTCTTGGTTTTGGTCTGTCTTTTTGTTTTAAAATCCAAGGAGCTTTAGGAATTGCAAGAAGAGTATGATTCTATAGAAAATAAACTTGATAATTTTTCTAGTACCAAATAGTAGTGGTGATCTTTGGAAGCTAGCTGAGTGAGTATAGTGGCAAGTTATTTTTATGGATTTAGTGTACTATTCAACAAAACCAAATTGCCAACTTAGGAAAGCTTTTGCAGATTCTTCATCAAATCTATGCTTTCTTTACTATGAATTGTTTCATATATTAAAAAGCTTGATGTTAACTTTTATTCATCATTTTAAGTTGAATGAGCCTTAATTGCAAGTCCTTCTTATCACTTAGTTCATATTTTATGTGTGGTTTTGTAAACTTATAATGATATAGTAACCATTTTGTCCCAATTTTTCTTTTTTTCAACAATCAATTTTTCTAGAATATTGCACAATACACTATTTATTCTTTCCACCAACCAATTAGCTTCTGAATAGTATGATATTGACTTTGATATTTAATCAATAGCTTCCTCATTAGTGTTTTAAATACTTCATTGAATAAATATGAGTTTTGGTCAATAACAAAATGAAGCCAAACAAAGGTAAATGCTATTTTAGCATAACATGAAAATATAAATACTCGATCAACTACTGAACTTGGGATCAAAGTCAAATGCAAAACAAGAACATATACATTTAACAAGAAGTTATATAATGCCTCAAGTTGGTCAGTTATATCTAATCTACTCATTATCCTTACTATACATTTTGAACCCCTAGCAAATCCATCAATAAACCTTTAATAATAACTTGCAAGTTCTACAAACCACAATATCTTTCTTATGTTTATTAGAGTGAGCATTTAGTATTGTGGTTGCCACAAACAAAAGAGGTGAGACTTCTTACGAGTGTTATCATGATGCAGCTGCAAAATATGGTTGGCCAAAATGATATGAGGAGATTGTGC